ATTCGATTTGTCAAATGTCAAACTACAACCTTCACTGAGGAGCAAAAACAAGCCCTAACATATAATGTATTATGTGAAATTTATAATATCAGTTATCAATATTGAGATGAAGACTTATATTTTGATATTACTTCTATTACTATGTCGTCACTAGTAGTTGTGCAAGTTTGTACAAGTTTCTGTTTGAAACCCCTGCTCTGTGAATCCCCCACAGGGACATCTGTGTTTGTGGTCTGTACAGAACAGACTGTGTGGCCTGCAGGTGTCGTGGCACTATTCAACGCAGGGTCACAGGAGGTTGATAAGCAAGTTTTCTCTTCGTCATAGGATATTTCAAATGCTCCTCTGATGATCTGAGACTGTTTAACCATGTGCTGCCATGCTGGAGGCTGCAGTGAAGAAAGTGAAACTGAATTGGATGTCTGGTGTCTGACCCGGTGGAGCCACCATTGCTCTAAAGTTATAAAAGTATCTTAATTAGGTCAAAAAAACTTTTATTAAAGGAAAAATACAGATAAACAAGCGTGTGATGCAACTTACAGTATTTGTCAACACACTTTTTAGTGTTTTAGTTCAATACCCAGCCATGATAGAGGGATACACAAAAGCAGGCACCAGTTACATCCCAGTAAACTGGATCTATAGACCACATGAGGAAATATGAGGCACCTCATCTGAAAACATCACTCTTCCTCCATCATAACCTGCGATCAGATGCCCATCGACTCCCATCAAGCCGTTCAGTTTCAAGAGCAGAAAATTGAAGAACAATGTAACTGCACTTGCGGCTCTCTGCTAGGAGCGTATGAAGGCACAGTGCAGAAAATTGACTCGTAGGTTCAGAAAAATGCTCAGTGACAGTGAAAAAATTTCAAATAATCATGTACACACCTGATCGGAGACCACGGCATCCCCAGCGCCTTCCCGAAGACGAGTGACGGAGCAGAGCGCCGCCTCTGAGCCAAATGTTTGAAGTGCTGTGAGATAACAGAAGTGATAGAGGAGTGATATTTAATATTTACTTCCATGCGCTTGATTCACGCCACCTGCTGAATTAGAAGCTGTGGGACGTTTGACACTGTTCACAGTGACCCTGTCCTTCATTCAGCTGTCTCAGCAGTTTGAGAAATTAAACATTTGTCCCACAGATGACTGCGAATGTGAATTCAGAAAGTTCAAAATGTTTGAAGTAAAGGAACCATAAAGGGAAAAAAGTAAATTAGTAATATAAGAGACTTCAGTGATAATATTTACAGGGAGGTTTTCATCATGGTCGGGATTAAAGGAATAACATTTTCACCGACATCCCATGGAATAATTCATGGAGCTGGGTGAAAAGTATCAAGCATATTTATTTTGAAAAGATCTAAATAATTCATCTGTGTTTTAATTGGAATCTTAAATAAAATTAATTGCAATAAGGTCCTCTGTGGTTTTAATATGATTCCCTTAGAAAAAGAAAAGAGGCCCAGATAGAAAGTAAAGAGGTCGTCAGAGGGTGGACGTGCACTTCAGCCACAACTCAAGATCATGATGTTTTTAGTTCAGGCCTCAGTTTGCTTCATTTACCTCAACAGATTGTTCAGAAATTGTTGTTGTTGTGTTCATTCTGTCGTGACTACAGACGCAACACCATCACAGAAAATGTTTGAATCTCCACGAAGCCGCCCACCCATGACATTATAAGGAGTCGGAGCAGCATATGGTTTTGATTCCCAGCTGCCGGTGCTTTATGTGTTTTCTCCCCAGTGCAAATGTGATCGACCGCTGAGCACATGTTGCCAGGCAACAACAATGTAAACGCACATGAGGAAAAAAGCTTCAGTGTGATTGTTTTTGTGAGATTTTTGGCTCAAGCCATTAAACAAAATGTAAAAGTAAATGAGGCTTTGGTCAAAATTTGATGGAGTAATTCAAATAAAAGACCTTGAGACTGTGCACAGCTGTGTGTAAATGGCAATATTAGTTGTGTAACTTTTTTAAAATCTATTGGTGAAGTTGTATGTTGCAGCTGAATATCGCCCAGCCCTGTGCTGCACTGGTAGTTTGAAACCCTCCGCTCTGTGAATCCCCCACAGGGACATCTGTGTTTGTGGTCTGTACAGAACAGACTGTGTGGCCTGCAGGTGTCGTGGCACTACTCAACACAGGGTCACAGGAGGTTGATAAGCAAGTTTTCTCTTCGTCATAGGATATTTCAAATGCTCCTCTGATGACGTGAGATTGTTTAACCATGTGCTGCCATGCTGGAGGCTGCAGTGAAGAAAGTGAAGTGTAAGAGAACCTGTGGTTTAACTTCAGTTGTCATAAAAACTCAGAAGGTTTAGTTTCTCCAGTTTTGGCTGCTGTAAAAAACATGACAGCCTCCGTAGAGAGGACCCGCTTCCAATATAATTATAAAATATTTAAATATAGAGGGATCATTTTAGGGTAAACAATAATTGGTACAATTTAGATGAAACCCACTGGTGAAAATATCACTAGGATTATTTTATGTTCAGTTTCACCTAAATCTTTCACACTGGAGCATTAAAACATCTTTCTCATGCCGCACACAGAGCAAAGGCGTAGCTGCACACGTCAGAGACATTTGTTAAAAGCAGTGACTGACACTGAGTCATTTACCCAGCACCTGTCACCAACTCTCTTTTTCATTTTTCCCCGATAGTGGATCGATACTCACTGGACGCAGAGAAGCTGCAGCATCATCGTAGCTTCCCCTCCTCATCGCCGCAATCCCATAATCTGGAGTGTCCATGCTGATGCACACAATGAGCCCTCCACCCTCAACGCTCCACACTATACTTGAATAATCAGTCAGCAGCTTTTCAGTCGAGGAGAAGTACGTCGAGGGCTCTTCTGTGAACTGAGCAAGGGAGCAGCTGCCGAATGTTGCCTCCCGTCCTGCACAACAGCTTCTTCTAAATGGTGCTAATGAGGTTTCGAACAATGGAGGCCGGGCTGGAGCACAAAGAGGAGATGGGTTTTTGTGCCTGACCTGAACCCACAGTGCCACTCTGATCCGAGCCAGGTCCCTCCTCCCCTTCACCCCCACCCCCTCACACCCAGCCTGTCCTGTTATGCTCCAGTGGGGCTGCTTCCTCTCATAATGAGATCGCCGTGCGTCCCATCAGGCCCGGGCCGCCTCGTCCCCATTTCTGGGCTAACGAGGGTGAGATGCTGTGACAGCCAGGGTGTACAGAAAAAACAGATCAGCCCCAACCCCCCTCGTACTCACATGAATAGGTGTACACACACAAACCTACTCTGAAATAAGTAGTTTACTTTGCATTAGAAATTACACTACAGTGTTAAACACACAAACTTCAACTGACAGCAACAAGTGAGTTCAACAACTGGAGGAAAAGTGTCGGAGAGGCAGCACATGATGACGAATGATTGTTTAATCGATATAAGATGTAGCTTGTGGTTTCAAAAGTGAATGCATTACTACATTACGTCATTTACATCCTATGATCATTAAATAGCTTTCAGTGCGTATAAGCTTGAGTTTGTGTCTTTAGCTCTATGGGACCATGCAGAGATGACTTCTTTTAGCTCGACATGACATCATTTTCTATTAAAATGAATATCTTATAAAAATAAAATATACACGATCCTGAAGTCATACACTCACAGTACGTTTTACATGATTGGAACTGAATGTGTGTTAAGAGACACTGAAGCGAAGACAATGAAGCGGTTATGTGGAGTTGGTTGTCATTGTGCATAATGAGCTGTGATGAGTCACGGACACTTCTAGTCTAATCAAAGCCCGGGCCACTATCTAAAGTTCATGCAATTTAACCTATAGAACATATAATTCAACTCTTGATTATGTGAATATGTGCATTGATTTGAATGCACATATTCATATACATGTGTGCATTATTGTGGGATAATAAAAAGGAATCTTAATCTTAATTAGCACAAAGCAGGGGTAGCCTTGAGTGCAGACCACAGGGGTGACCTGCTTTAATCATATTCATTGCACGGATCATAAATTAATTCATTATTTTTGCCTTTCAGTCGTCCACATTTGCAGGTATTAGACGAACCTCACACTCCTGATCAGCTTAACCTCAAAGCTGCACTGACCAATATGTGTCTACAGTGGTAACGGATCATGTGAATGCGTGGGACATGGAATGGTGTCGGAGTGGTAAAGAGATCTTCTTTTGTTGGTTTTTTTTTTCTGATGATATCTGGAAAAGGATTCCAGATTCTTTTCTCTTTTCTGTTAACTTCCCTCATGTCATTATTTAACATTCATTTAACATTAAGTAACTCAGCTACTTTTAAACAGCTACACATCAAACTCACTCACTGTTTTTAAAAATGTTTTAGTACATCGATCACGATCTGTTTCTATTTAACGTGACAGGTTGCAAGAAAACATGCAAACTCTAGTGGTAACTTGTAAGCAGGAGCACAATTAAACAAACTAACAGCACTAAAGTTCCTAGCGTTTTCAGTTGGCCCCAGTCCTGGAGGACTCCATTTACTGCTGCTATGAAAAGTACTAGTTTTATTCCAGTTGTCAAAGCTCAGCAGGGAGCCAATTCTAACTAGGTCCCTGTTTTGGCTGTCTGTCGGAGTGGCAGTAATGGGCTACTTCTACAGATGTATTCCATTTACTCTAATGGCCGCAATTAAATTATTTTCAAACGACTTTAATGGATCTACTTTTGAGACAGGCTTCCGTTTCTGGTGATGCGCATTACGGTAAATGTGATTCTGCACAATTATGTTGCACAACAATGTTCCAGACGCAGACTTTTACGTGCACTAACCTGAGCACTGAAAACCAATCATTGCTTTTAAAATCATTTTATTACGGGTGTGTGTATGTCCCTGTGTTAAATTCCCTGTGAAACCCTATCGCATGTTTGCACAGGAAAATGCAACAATAGGTCGGATGGTGGAAGAAAACATTGCGTTGCTTTGCAGCTCATCAATGCAGCCTATTGTGGAGAGGTTACATAATCAGAAGTACATGCACAAAGCCTGGCTAAACATCTCACTGCTCATCTTTAAAGACCTTTCAGGGGAACAGTTTGACACCGTATCTCCCTGGAGTTTCATGCCACATTAAAATGAAATGTCACCGCCTTTATCATGTTTGGTTCCTTAAGTCAGTTCGTTTGCTTTGTCTGCACAGCCGTGCATGCGACGACTGCATCCATTGATGATTTGCAGCAGGATATGTTGGCAGCACCCCTGCATCAACAAACCTGCAACATTTAACAGGATGAACAATGCATTAAAAGATACTGCATTTATGTTTATTTATTTTTCTTATTTCATGTTCTATATATTTGGTTGTGTTTTAATTTTTATTTGTTGTAATTTATAGTAAAGATGATAACGACTTCTGACACACACACACACACTAAACTACCACAGTAAAACAGTAACTGTATATATATATACAGTATATATATACAGTATATATATATATAT